GGGCGGGGGCGGGCGGGGGCGCGGGGGCGCGGCTGCGCGTGCTGCGGGGGCGCACGGAGGTGACGCGTCTGCCGGGGCGCACGCTGTCGCTGGGCCGGCCCAATGACGTCACGTGCCGCACGCTGCTGTCGGCCGACGAGGACGAGGCCGAGGCCGCCGAAGAGGCCGAGGACGAGGACGATTCCGACGACAACTTGCTCGCCCCGCTCTGATCCAACACGTCTTCGTCTTCGTATCCACGCCAAAGACTCGCTTCGTTCCGTAGCGACTTAGTATTAAGAATCCAACGAATACTCGTATCGTATCGCTGAGCAATGAGCGAGCGTGTTATTCTTATGAATCAACGAGAAAACATGAACTTTAATTAAGAGTCTCAATAACTAATGTACACTACTTACTAATAATAATAATAGTGCGAGGTGTCACACACACTACAACTCGAATCATTAAGAATTTTGTTCTCAGTTTTGATGTCACAAATTTTATTCAAATGTTACGACTACCTCGCTTCAGTAATTCGTTTCAGAGTCTCTAGTGTAACACCACCAGAGTGTGCATTTATATTTTATAGTAGATATAATATCTATACTGACTGCATTATAATGAAGATCTGATCAATTAAATATAATATTATTTGTAAAATGTATTTTTTTAATACTTTTACTGAATGCCAATTTATAATATTAATGATATAATGTCAGACATAATTATGAGATATCTCAGTTTCAATGTTGGTGAAAGGATTCTGATGTCAGGAATATGTATGTGGATGATATTATGTCAGATGTACATGTAGGCAGCAGTAAAATAATAAAGTCTTTGATATGAAACCATTGTTTATTTCTGCATTTCCCACAGACTACTCTGATGAGAGACACCGAATGGTATCTGAGGTAACCATAACAGGCCCTTTTAAACTGCACATACTATGGTAAAATGAAACTTCCCCGGCCGCATTTTATATCGTCGAGTACCTTCATTATAGACACAATTAAAGAACAATAGGTTGCGGTCTCCTATGGAACGTCGGCTTCGACTGGCTCCTGCGGGGAACGCTCCTTCACAGGAAATAAATTGTCAAATAAATAAATTAGTGATAACGGTAAATAATTATTGGTCAAATAAAATAATTATAATCAGATTGAGTAAATAAGTAAAACGCAGACTTAGATTAGGAACTCCGTCCAAACCAAGTACCGGACAAAGTGGACAAAATGATCCTCTCGATATCGTCCGTCAATAAAAGTAATAAAAATTTTTCGATCGAGAAAAGTCTTTCTTGTCCATATCCCTATAGTATAGTATAAGGGCGAGTGGGAGGGCAAAATTTCTAAATTTTTGTGCTCCGATCGGGGCGTGCGATACGTCGGGAGAAGCGTCTCAGCGCGGGCCGTCCAACCGAGTGAAAATCCCGGGTCGGTTTGCTGAAAGATTTTGCTTATCCCTATAGTATAGTAAGTATAAGGGCGAGTGGGAGGGCAAAATTTGAAAATTTTTGTTATCCGATCGGAGCGTGCGATACGTCGGGAGAAGCGTCTCGGCGCGGGCCGTCCAACAGAGTGAAAATCCCGGATCGGTTTCCTAAAAGAATTTAAAGTTTTGAATGAAAAACGAGTTTTTTCACCAAATTTTGGTCAATTGCGAGGATTTTTCGCGAAACGTCTGGAGTTATTCAGTCAAAAACCTATCCAAATCGTAGATTATAAGTTCCTAAAACGTTAATAAAAATTTTGTCGCCCTAGGTCCAATATGAAAAAAGTAAAAATTTTTCGAATGAAATATTTTGGTCCAAAGTAACTTTAGGGGTGGAAATTAATTCGGGGGTCGAGCCCTCGACTGTAAAAAGTACCGAAATGGTTATTGGGAGCTTAGAGGAGATGGTAAAAACTGAAAAGTGCTCCGAAATCGGTTGTTTGGTTTCCAAAATATTTCGGTTAGGTTTTTTTTTTATTTTATTTTTATACAGCAGGAGGGGAAATCCTCATGGAGACTCACACCTCCCCACGAATAGGGAGGTGTGAGTACTGCCGGACTCTTACCGGCTAAAACCTACTCCTGCTGTGTCGAAGTGCTCCTCTGACATGATCAGAGACCTGAATCAACATATTGTTATTGCCCTTATAATGGAAACCTTTTTGTGTAAATATATAAATAAAATAAATATTTATAGATATTTAATATATATGTAATGTAGGGGTATAGACGTAAATATATACATAGTTTGGCACTACTGTCATATTATATTATTGCAATATAAATACTAAGCGCCACAAATTTCTGCCCTTCACTTGGTACATTTCTTGAGGGTTTGTGCTTTCCGTCATCGTCGTGCCGTTCTCACGCAAACGCTCCACCATGTGCAACATGACTATTAGAGACGTTTGCGTGGCCTTCCAGGACTTTCGACGAGATGGTCTAAGCTGCCTACACCTGTGTTCGACAAGTGAAGGACATCGTCTTCGTTTCCATTCGTTTGGTCTCTGACCACGTGTTTTGTGCGAGCGTTCGTCAGCGGCGACAAGGCAATCACACAGCACCAGCCGCGAGTCGCGGTATAGCCAGTGGTGTCAGTTCCCGATATGTCCACTATTTTATGTTCAAACCACCATAGCAAGGTAATTGGCCCCTTTTTAAATTTGTACATCTTCTGATGAATCTGGACATAATTTAAGAATTCCAGCTTCAGGCCGTAGTGGTTCGAGCCATAAGCCCACTTCAATGGTATATCATTCGACAGGCTGTCATCCTCCCGCACGCTGGCGCCCCCGATGGCCGCATCCTCACCGTCACATTGCAAATGATGCCACCTTAGCAATAGCTAACACCCGCCCTGGCCAGGGCGTCCCATTTCCTACGGACCGGACAGTTCTGGGCGAATATGGAGTGGCCTGAGTCGCTTTGCCCTTCTCTTTTACAATTTTTGCAGGAAGGTCCCACACCTTCGGCAGACCTAGGGCAATTCGCCTGGAGGTGGGGCCCCCCGCAATAGTTACACAGGTCCAGCATCCATACTCCGCCGATCAATGAGAGCTGCCCTCAAATCCCCCATTTGCACGGTGGCCGCTTCAAGAAGCTTACTGTGCTCCGCTATTTTCAAAATGAGATCGTCCTCCTTTCCTTTTTCTTGTATAGAAGCACTATTTCTATGGATTGTCAGTATGCATGTGTGAGCACCATGTTAGACTTAAGATCTTTATTATTTTTATTTTTATTTTAGTAAGTTATTAGTATAATGCGTCAAGCGTGTCTTTGCATTGTTCTTACATATGCGTACAGTATTGAAATATGTATCAGAGACATTGTAGAACATACTTTTTTAAAGGAGTAACGAATGGAGTTTCTTGCTCGTTCTTCTCCATTCGAATGTACGTTTTGGAATGACCACCTAGCTTCACCTAGCTTCACTGACGGACTGACTGACAGACTATTATTTATTTTGTATTTGTTGACGTTTCAAAAGTACCAAACTATGGTTTAATTGAAATAAATGCTTTGACTTTGACTTTGACTTTGACTTTGACTTTGACTTTGACTTTGACTTTGACT